GCCTAATTGGAGATCGATCGAGTCATGAAAACAGTGTCGTCTGCCCCTCAATTGTTAGTTTACATGGAAGGAAACCCATGTGACTAAGGTCACCTAGTTCTTGCGGAGCATGGGCGTGGTGAGATTTAAGAAAAAAGAAAAGAACGCTAGAGAAGAAGGACGATTTTGGGTTCAAAGAGCGTTGACCGAGAGGTCAGAGTGTGCGAATCGAGAAATGAGTGTGAATCGAGAGTTAGAGTTAGTCGAGAAGTCGAGGAGTAGAGTTGCTAGCGTTGTTGAAAGATAGAGTTGTTAGCGTCGTTGAGTTGCGAGAGTTGTTTGCGATAAAGTACGATTTTTGTATTTAGTTCCAGTTAAACAACCATCGTTTTCTGTCTAATTAATATCTGTGCAGTCAATTTATTGTAAATCAATTGTAAATAGTCGGGGAAAAATTTATACCTAAATTTTCCCGATACTACAGTAATTGTAAGATTTTGTAGAGTCTGACATAGAAGAGAGAAGGTAGTTTGATGGGTTTGTTATTGTAGAGTTATCTGTGTCTGTTGGAAAAGATATAAATATAAACAGGATTGTTTGGGGTGGTGGAGATTTTTAGTATTTAAGATTTAGCAGGTACGGTATACATCTGTCACCCGGCTAATTTTAGTGCTACATGACGGTTGAATCATAGCTGATTTCGAAACGAATTAATACTCTATATATGTACGTTTCTAAAGGAAATCTCTGGTTAGCATCTCATTTATTATTGGCAAACATTTTGATGGCATTTAACTTTTTAATGCAGGAATCTTTTATGTATTTCAGATAAGGTACTCAAATCAATCTGTGATCAAAGATGAGGTCAAGTAATGTGATGGTATCTACAAATTTTATTTCATTGTCTCTCAGGAGTAGTTCAGACAGAGGCTAATCATTTGTTGCTTTTTTTCAATGAATAAGATACTTTGGGCTTTTTTTAATCGAGAAGATTTCTGGTGGCTGTTGACAGAAGTTTATTCATGGAACTTCAATTTGTTCTGCCGCGTGTCATAATGAGGTCGTCAGAGAATATGTGAGCTGTAGCTGGTGGCTGTAGATTATACAGGGTGGTTGATAACTGGTGGTACAAGCGGAAAGGGGGTGATTCTACGCGAAAAAAGAAGTCGAAAATATAGAATAAAAATTTTTCGTTTGGGGCTTTGTTTTCGAGAAAATCGACTTTGAATTTTCGCTCGGTACGCGTGCACTTTATCACGTCTCGTTATAACGGATCTCACTGTAGATTTAAAAAAAAAATGAAAAAAAAATTTTTTTTAATTTTTATGCTATATTTTCGACTTCTTTTTTCGCGTAGAATCACCCCCTTTCCGCTTGTACCACCAGTTACCAACCACCCTGTATATGATTAACTTCGATTAGAAATAAAGTGACGCTTATGATTGGCATTTTGTATTCTACAATTTTTATCTAATTTAAATGAACCTGTTTGTTAAAAAACTGGTTATAAAAGCCAGCATATTACTGTCAATCTTTAGCTTGAGGGATATGCTTACTATTTTTGACTTTCAAAATCATGTCAAATGTTTCTTAGGGGTCTAGATAGATATCGCAGTTAGATATTTATCTTTTTGGAAAGCGTCACGCGTACAAGTTTCCATGTTTATTAATACGTCTATAACGGGACGATGTTGTCGGAAACTATATTGGATTGGATTTAGTACGTTATTGGATTCAAGGTACCAACGAAGACTGCTATTTAAGATTTTCTCTAGTAGTTTTCACATAGTGTTGGTTAGCACAATCGAGTAATAGTTACTTGAATTATGTTAGTTTTTATTTATTTTATTTATTTATTTTTTTATTTATTTTATTTATTTATTTTTTATTTATTTTATTTATTTTATGTTCGACTTAAAGATTGAAATTACTATAGCTTTTCGCTAGTTATCGGGGAAGGCACGGTAGATCCAAATACAATTATAGATTTTCAGAAGGCATTTTATTCCAGATTCTTGGAACATTTTTAATAATATTAGGTTGTCCGAAAAGTGTCTTTCTCTTCCAGACTCGCTTTTTACAACGATGCATTTTCATACAAACATGAAACCTAATCTGTCGAAGGTTGTGATCTTTATTTTGATAGAACAAAATGGATCATACGTAATTCGATAAAATAATATAAAACAGAAAATGTTGTGTATCCATTATTTCCTTATAAAACGAAAGAAACTTTTCGGACGACCTAATAGATTATGGATATGAGTCAGGAGCGGAGTTTTTTCTTAATAAGAAAGTGGAGTTAATTTGATTCTTTGATAGTATATATATTATTATTTCGTATATTATTACAAATGTAGTGTGAGGTTGATTTTGCTTTTGTCTGAGAATTTCACAGTGTCTTTCTTCTAGGTTTTGTAAATAGCCTCATTCGCCGAAAATGATAGGCTGCAGTTACTACCATTAGAGTTTTGTTCGAATTTTTATGCCATAACGTTGACGATCGTGCATTCTGTTACATTTTGCACACAGCGATTTTACATTCTTCGTTCCATCGAGGAACGATTCCTTTCCTATCCATTTTATGCGTGGTAATCTCGAAGGTTTTATATGTTGTTGATTTTATAACTGATTGAAATTTATTTATTGCTCTGTTAACCCAGGTTGGATCAATTTCAAAGTTTATTCCTTTCTCTGCGAGTTGATGAGTAATGTTTGCTGGATAAATTGACCAATTTGTTTTTCTGGTGTTCATTACTGGCGGTTTGACGGTGTGGATTTGCTGGTGCGAAAGTTGACTTGTTGTTAGCGTCCTTTGTTTTTGATGGGTTTTCCGATATATGGTGTCATCAAAGGTTAGTAGAAAGGAGTCAGGTATTCTTTTGTCATTATCAGAATCTATGAATACTTGCCTTCTGAAGCATGGGCTCACTCTGGATCGGTTGTTCCTGCATTCAAAGAAGATATTTCTAAACATAACCTGACATTATTTTTTTTAACACTCGTATTCGGGTCTCAGCAAACTTTCTGGTCAGGCCACGTAACCCATATTCGGGTGTCGCTTATTTGACTACTTGCGAAGGATCGTCGTAGGTATTTGAAAAGATATTCCATAATAATAAATTGTTAATTAACAATTAATTGTAATAGTATTTGAATTGTTATAAAATAAAAATACGAAAATGGTTTATTAAAAAAATTATTTAGAATGTAAAAATGTAAAGCATTCTATACATAATTTAATGTAAATTATTATATTTAATTATTAATTGTTAATTATTAATTGTAATAATAGTCGAACTGTTATAAAATAAAAATACGAAAATGGTTTATTAAAAAAATTATTTAGAATGTAAAACTTTAAAGCATTCTATACATAGCTGAGGTTGGTCGGGACAATTTGGACAATAAGTTGTCGTTTTCTTCAAATTCTTTTGTGCCTTTGTTCGGTCCATTCGACGTCTTTTATTTGCATAACATAGTTTGCATACGCGTCTAATGCTTCTTCCGGAATCGTTTTTCCGAACGGCGATATTATGCCGACTCCGTCGAAGACAAGGATTTTTTGTATTTTCAGACAACCCTAATAATTTTTCAACTAATAATTGTCTAAATATCCTAATATTTATATTTTTTCTTGCTGCAATTTTGTAAACCCTCAAAGCGTTTACAACAGAAATTTCCAGAAGGAATCGAATGCCAAGTCTTTTGTACCATTTGATTCCTTTTCTAATTTTGATGGCATAAAAAACCATTTGGTCGGAATAATCTATACCACACTTTCCTTCGTTATATTCAACAACAGCTAGTGGTTTTAACGCTGCGAACAAACGAAACGAAAGATCATTCTTGAGACCACCACTTGAGCGATTCGTATTACTAAAATATCGATGGAAGAACGCTTGGTACTGCTGTACGCGTGGCCTAACGGAGATTTCTTTGAAAACACGCGTGGCAGTCAACGTGTTAAAGGTGTTTTCAATTCCCATGTTTTCTACGAGTGAAGAGACACTTGAGAGCATTATTTTTTAGGTCGGCGTTAGCATAGGTTACATTTATACATTTATTATTTATGATGTTTGATTTGTGTAATATAGTTGGTTGTGCGTCTGTTTCTTTTTTCTTTAGGTATACGCACACTCGGTTCTTTGATATATATTTTGAAACGTATTTCATAGCTTTAAGACCATTTATTTTTCCTATTACATATATATAATCTTGGATGCTTACTTCGTCGACTTCGTAGATAATGTAATATCGGGAATAAAATATTATTTATTGATGATGATTTATTTACAATAAATGGATTGTACAGATGTTGATTAAACAGAAGAACGATGGTTGTTTAACGTGAATAAATCACAATAACGTGCTTTAATCCTTAGAGTGCTGAATACTCGCGGCCTATGCGGTCCGTACGGACGGCGCGCGGCCAACGCTGACCATCGCTGTGGACAGAGTACTTTTTCGCTAGACTGAACTCCGTTGATTGACTATTCAAAGCGCAAATCGTAATAAGTTATAGTAATTCTTTTTCACGAGATTAAACGATTCAAGAGCGTTATTTTTTAGTATTAATTATTTATTATAAACATTGAAATTTACAATAAACTAGAATTTGGGTAATAAACTAGAAAACAATAAACTAGAAAACTAAATTTAGTAAATATAACACGAGTTAATAATTCAGTTGAGTGTGAAAAATTTCAAAACAATTATCGATATATAATCCGACATCGCATTTTCTGCATTCGTATCGCGTGTCGCTCCTTCTCTTGTTTTTCACACAAACAACATATTTTCTTCTTGATAATTGTGTCGTGCCGGCACGATTAGGGTATTTCGATGGAAAATGCCTATCAATTAAACGAAATGGTAAATCCTCAGACTTTCTCTTTCCTCCTCCTAACATGCTTCTACGTTGGAAATATTTTCGTAAAATGTCTCTTATCAACGCTAAATGAAATTCACTAAATTTTTGTTTCGAAGCAGTAGATTTTTAATATAAAATATATGCATTATATATAAGGAATGCATTTATATTTATCTCACACAAACGTAATGGTATTACTTCTGCGTAGGTGTTCGGAAAAATTGACAAACGCATATATGCGTCCTTAGTCCATGCCGAACATTTACAGAAAACGCATATGTGTGTCTTTAGTCCACACCGATAGCTTTCGCCAAACGCATATATGCGTCCATAGCACTCTAAGGGTTAATCTAGACAACTCAATATTTAATTTGCAACTCTCGCCCCAACGGACCCAACGCTCTCTCTTACGCGGACCACACTCCCTCGACAACGCTAACAACACTCTATCTCGACAACGCAACTTGCACTCTCTGACTTCTCGATTCACACTCTCTGATTTCTCCACTGACACTGACTGTTCTAGCATCCCTTTGTCTTTTCTTAAGCCCACCACGCACGTGTTCCGCAAACACTCGTGGCCAGGGTCACGGAGGCCTTTTCTATGAAACTATTCAATCGAAGGACCGATGACACGAGGATTGATGGACACGATGACGTCTCCGCACTCGCGACATTGTTTATGGTTTACCCGATATCCCTTAGGCCTTTTTGTCCACGATACTACAATAATTATGGCTTGCTCCTTGACTGCTGAAGAAGCAAGTTTTATAGCGTGTGAGTAAGATGTTACAGAGTTGGGATTGTTTTGCTCACTTTCCGTTAGATTTGAAGACGTGAAATCCTGTGCTCAGAAGTCTCGTTTGGTACGTGTTGATTAATCCGGTATTTTCATTGCTGTGCTAGATACAGTGTCTAGATGTGCGAAATCGGCGCTGTTGTCACTAAAACTTACGCCTACGCTAACTTTATATGAGTGGGTATAACAGCGAAATGAAAAGATGTTCCGCGGGATGACTGCCAAGGGAGGTACTGCTCTTTATCACTCATCGTCGCACGATGCTACGTTGTTTTCTACATGCGACACTTTCGAGCAATACGCATGCTTAACCGTACAATTGTGTTCTCTGTCAAAAATAATCAATCAGGTGCGTATTCTTTCCAGACTAAACGCATGGGACGTCCGTACGGTACGACGCGACGGCTAAACCGCCTTTCTATTTTAAACTGTTCTTCCTATCTTATTTTCCATTCTTTACATGGAATTTTAAAACCTTGATTAAAATCTATTAATTTTATCACGTAGACTGGAGTTCCATCAAAATTCTAATCATGAATTTTTAACAATTATAACAAAATTCAATATATAAATTTCAAATTTATAACAATTTCTTCATTGGATACCTAATATTTTAATGATGTAATAATTATTCTTTTGATAAGTAAAATTTCTTTCAACTAATGAAGTTTATTTTCAACTAATGTTTTCACAAATTCAAAGATGTGATATGCATTTTACTTTACAAACCAAGCATGATAAATTTCAAATGATGTAAAATTCTATATATGACTTTCATATTATAAATTTCAGCGCATTTATTTATGTATTTATAAAATATAAATTTTAAGGATATCGTGTCTGTGTTATGTTGAATATGAAACTAACTATTGCAGTTTCATCAATTATTCATAGGAATTATAATAATAGAAATAACAACGTTATTAAAATTAGAAATTATATGTCGAATTCTAAAATACACTTAGATACAACAATAACATTTAAATCGTCGATCATAAACCATTGTATTTTATATAACCTTATTCAGTGCAATTTTTAGCTATTGTTACTGGTTTATCGTGCAATGAACGTCCTGTATAGTTTTTGCTTTTATGCGTTATAATTTTTATGTCACTGTGAAACGCTTTATTAGAAGGGAAACGTGGGATATCTCAAGAAGTTCAGAAGTTCGCTTGAAATATTACATCGGAGATGTCTGATCGTAAACTGACTAGCACCACTGTATACCCATATACGATATAAACGGATCGGTTTATGGATACTTGAGCCGAAGACCATTTTCTTAAAAGGATCATTACACGAAGCAATCGAACGATCTAAGGCTATCGTTGCGTTATAGGAGATATCCACATATGAAATGAAAGCATAAAGTCGAATAAATGAAAGAAGTAGAAGTACAATTTCATTTCATTTTAGAGAAAGTTGTTACGTATACGCGTATATTTATATTAGTGAATTAGAGAGAGAGAGAGGGGGGGAGGGAGGGGGGAGGGAGGTATGGAGAGGGAGAGGGAGGGAGAGAGAGGGTGAGAGGGTGAGAGGGTGAGAGAGAGAGAGAGAGAGAGAGAGAGAGAGAGAGAGAGAGAGAGAGAGAGAGAGAGAGATAGAGAGAGAGAGAGAGAGAGAGAGAGAGAGATAGAGAGAGAGAGAGAGAGAGAGAGAGAGAGATAGAGAGAGAGAGAGAGAGAGAGAGAGAGAGATAGAGAGAGAGAGAGAGAGAGAGAGAGAGAGATAGAGAGAGAGAGAGAGAGAGAGAGAGAGAGATAGAGAGAGAGAGAGAGAGAGAGAGAGAGAGATAGAGAGAGAGAGAGAGAGAGAGAGAGAGAGATAGAGAGAGAGAGAGAGAGAGAGAGAGAGAGATAGAGAGAGAGAGAGAGAGAGAGAGAGAGAGATAGAGAGAGAGAGAGAGAGAGAGAGAGAGAGATAGAGAGAGAGAGAGAGAGAGAGAGAGAGAGATAGAGAGAGAGAGAGAGAGAGAGAGAGAGAGATAGAGAGAGAGAGAGAGAGAGAGAGAGAGAGATAGAGAGAGAGAGAGAGAGAGAGAAAGAGAGAACGATCGGTTAGTAGAAAATTTAAGGAAATAAATTATTACATTTTTGTTATAAGATTTCTCTTTCTGTTTGATATTAATATTTATAAAATAGTTAAAGAAATAATTAACAAATCAACTTAAAATAAATCTTTTCGTATAAAAAGCAAAGTTATTTAAATCGGTATCTGGAAAATGCAATGTGTACGATTATAATTATTTAAGATATTATTCCAGAAAATAATTATTTAAATACAATAAGTGTATTTAATATAACAAAATTTATTTTATTGAATAGCCCAATAATGAAATAATTCAAAGAAATCTGATTTATTTATTCAAGTGAATCAATGTTTAATTATTCTAAAGTAACATTTAATGGATACGGTGACTAATAATCGAAAACAAAATTGTTTGCAATTTTAGAGATCGACCACAGCTAAAGAAAATTATCATGGGAGTAATTTATAATATTCTAATTCTACTCCAATAATGTTTTCTTCTTTGCAATTATTCGCACAATATATATATACATGTCGGAGATGAGGGGACATCTTTTCTTTTAGAATTTTTGGGAAGATCCCCAAAACTTTAATCTAGACTATTTATTATAGCTGTGCTTAAATGATAAAACTTAGAAACAGTTGTTATGATTCAACCCTATTATGTTTGCCCGAGATTTGCGACGGTGGGCTTGGACTCGAGGTGACACAACTGGTCGCTGAACGTAGCCACGGTCACGGAATAAACGTTTTTACCTAACAGAGACGTGCCAATACTGTGGGACACACGTTGTATTAACAATCAAACCCCGGGCAGGAGCAATGTCAGCTCTACGCGGGTCTGCCTAGCAACGACGGCTGGAATTTTGTTGGTATCCCCGGCCAATATGCAACGAAAAAACGTGATCGTAAGGAGAGGAAAATTTTCATCAGTCTTTTATTCTTGCGATCACCTTGGAGAGTCTGCACATCGTCTTTACGTGCAGTATTATACCGAGCATCACAGCAAACGTTACTTTGTGCTTCAAAATATATTCTACGTTTAACAAAAAGTTACCCCGTTGACCGTGGATTCGTTATTGAACCTAAGAACATTGTCACTAACATCTCGAGTGTTTAATCACCACGGTTATTTGTCAAACTTTGTAAAAATCAATATTTATACCAGTAAATATAATCTCTGTTGTACAACAACGATGGCTGGTCCAAATGAATGTATACAGTTCCTTAGAAAGCTTTAGTTGTATCTACCTTGCCAAGCAATTTAAGAAATCTTTATTTCTTCATTTTTACTCCTGCTATTAGCTAAGGCCAACCATTGTGGTCAAGAAACTGCTACAGTTTAGATATAGGTACTTCGACCAACTAGCTCCACCAACACTTGATGTTCTTGAATTGTCACCTCTTTAAGTACCAATTGCACCCAGCGCAGTTTTGAACTTAATGAAGTTCAATAAACATTGGACAAATTGTTAATTCTTTTACCGAAAATAATTCTCCGAATGACGATGCGAAAGGAAATGAATTGTTGTATTGATAGGAAATGATTTATCGAAAGTTTTATAAACAAATTAAAAACAATAATTATTGACATTAATCAAATCTCTTATTTTTACTGATGAAACGTATTGCTTTTTTCAATGGAAAAATACAATGAAAATTGTTATCGATATAGCTTCCATCGTTTTAAATCATTCGCAGAAATAATAAAAACAACAATAAAAATTTTATTTTTTATATATAGAGATTGTCGTATCAGTTCCACCATAACTCTGTGTTTTATACTCTTAAAAAGCATGTATTTCTCAGTTTCACATTAGCAAATAAACCAACGAGTCGAACATACCGCATTTATTTATTGAACTTTTCCGTATTTTTTTCTTTTTCCAATAATTAATTTGCAGTAATTTGTGTTTTTCGTAAAAAAAGGCTCCAGGTGCTGCTTACTTACGCAGATTTATCATACCAGTAACGTTCAGTATGCACGAGACGAACACGAATTTAGGTGTACCATTACCACGATTATGAAGTGCAATCTAACATCATTAATCGAGATTGGGGACACGGTAATGAAGACGATTTATTCGTTTGATTTTTCCTCGAACTAACGATCGATTTATTAAAGTGAGATTCCCTGAGCACGTTGAATTTCTCCCTGTACGAACGTGCAGAGATTAAAAAACATTAGATGCTAATAAGATGCTTAACATATACAATCATTTATAATTATACTGCAAAGATTATCCAAATTTATGTTTTTACGAAAGGATATAAAGAAATGAAACTTGCACAGATATTTGTTTAACTCTCAAAATATTGTAACGAGCACATTTATTTTAGATATTTTGCGTATTTTCACATATTACGCATATTCTCCTCATTTTCGTAGATTTAAACCTTTCATAAATGCGTAAATATCTGTAGTGCATTTGTAATTAACGAGATGAGAATTACAATAATGTAAGTCCAAATTTTAAGATTTTAATTAATCATGTTTTTGAGTTACTAAAGGCATTATCCATTCAGTTTCTAGTTAACTTTTAGTCTCAACAAAATTGTAACTTTAAATTATATTTTCTCCACTACGACATGCTATTATTTTAAAAAATGCGTTGATCTTTTCGTGATAAATAATAAAAACAAATAGCAAAACTAGTAATAAATTTTTTTTAATATATTTTTTTATCATAAAGAACTTTTTATAATAACGACTTTGTTACGTCGCGTAACACTCTACCTAGCCCAGGCCACACACCGCGGGCAATATGGCAACCAGATGTCTTCGGATACTCACTGCGTATCCAAAAAAAAACGTCTGTTTCCGAAGAATTTCCAAGGACTATTGTCTACCACGGCGTGACAAGGGAAAGTTAGTTTTTCTCACGTACGCTGCAACTTTCCTCCCACTAACCACTTTCTCTCGAGGGCGGTTAAGACCCTTCGTTTAACCAATCAACAACGAAGCCTATTTCCCTCACTCTCTTAATTAAAATCGTCACCAACAAATCCGATGGTCCCGTGCGCTAGACACACCCATCCTTAGCTTTCCTCCGAGACAGCATCGTCTCTCAAGACAGTACTGATTTCACATCCTTCGAACGATCAACATCCTTCCACCGGGTATACACACCCGCAGATCAGTCACTCATTCATCTCGTACATACGCACCAGTGTAACTGCCTTCGTTATAAGTTAGTGGAATAAACGGTGAAATATAACTTACTACTGTGTCATATTCATTCAACCACCTCTGTTATCTTAACCGAAACAGGGGAACGACTACTTCGCGGCGTCGATTCACCGAATCGTAGCGAGAATTTACGCCTCTCGCTGACGCGTTTTCCTCGCGACCGCGTCTCTCCGCGAACGGTCGTAACAGACTTGTAAAATAAAAATATATAATTCACAAAAATTATACATATCTTTCTAATCTAATCTTATAATTGAATGCTTCACTCTTGTCCAGACGAGGCATTTAGCTTACAGCAGCTCATAGAGACTAAATTCTTTTTTCTAAGAATATTATATTTATAATACCTGTTTTAAAATCGTGTATCTCAAAAATTAAAAGAGGCTGTAAAATTCACAATGTGTGTTAGTTAGGAATGTACCAAATGTACCCTTCACAATATATTGTTGCTTTGATTTGATACTGGTACAACTCAGACAATTTCAAAGTTGCTTTTATCAAGTTACGAGATCTATATAATATATCTATTCTTATCATTTAAAACGGTATGTTTGTAATTGCATCAGTATGTCGTCAGAGGAGAAAAATTATTACTTGTGGCGTTGTCAATCCGACCTTAATTTTACAACACCACTGGTTCATCTTCAGTTATTTTGTGACGCTACAAGTAAGTTATCCATTTTAGTACCCGGGGTTTTTAAGAATCCGTGTCTGATTGTGTCATAGCACTTTGTGCACTGATTGTGCGCGATAGCACTTTGTTCATTTTTTTGAGAGAAATGTCGATCGATACGATCGCGCTGTTCTTTTTTTCGTATATGCAGGTGGTTTACGATTAGTTGAAAAAAAAGTAATTACGAGAGGAGACTCTGATACGACCCGCAACGAGCTACATTCGGAAACCGAGCGCGTTACGAATTGACGATCGTTACCAAACATCGTGACACAATTCACCGCAGTACGCGAACAGCACGATCGCGCTACGTGGCGCTAAAAAATGGTTATACTACTTTCCTGGATAGTAGCGTATGTTATGTTAAGTCAGCCTTATAACGTCATTGAAATAACTTGCAAAGATTTCTTTGTAAATTTTAAGACGTCTCTCCTCTAAAGTTTACATTTTTGAGTTGTGAATTATCGAAGCATAGCAGTGACATGTCAGAAAGAAATAATCTGTACTGTATAAATTTTCATCAACTTTTATCTAATTTTAAAATAATATACAACTTACTATATATACCTATATTTAGTTTTATCGTGTATAAAATGAACTATAAGCACTGTTTATTTACGCAGATTATATATTTATATAAATATAATACATTCAAATAATAAATAAAGAAATTTAAATTTGATAAGACAAAAGTAAAACAGTACAGGGTTATTTATTCAAAAATATTAGAAATTAGGATTTCCAATAATTTCTATCCTATATGATAAGTTTATTGATAGATGGATCTATTTACAGTGGATTTACGTTCGAGAATTATAACTTAAAACGTAAACAAGCTATTATACAGGGTGATTGATAACTGGTGGTACAAGCGAAAAGGGGGTGACTCTACGCGAAAAAAGAAGTTGAAAATATAGAATAAAAAATTTTTTTTAATTTTTCCATCAAGACAACGATTTACAGTGAGATCCATTATAACGAGACGTGATAAAGTGCACGCGTACCGAGCGAAAATTCAAAGTCGATTTTCTCGAAAACAAAGCCTCAAACGACAAATTTTTATTCTATATTTTCGACTTCTTTTTTCGCGTAGAATCACCCCCTTTCCGCTTGTACCATCAGTTACTAACCACTCTGTATATTCGTACTACGATCATCGTTGTAGGTTAAGGGTTTAAACAGGAGACGATGATTATTTAACGTGAACTAAATATAAATGTGCTATAACTAAGACAACTAAATGCATAATTCACAACTTAAAACTAATAGTTTACAACTTATAACAACTCTGCAACTCTCTCTTGACTCAACTCTCGACTCCTCACAACTTGAATCTCAACTCGCAACTCCACATAACTCGGCTCTTAGTTAACGATTCCTCACAATTCGACTCTCAGTTAACGACTGATGATTAATCGTTTTTCTCCCTTCATCCCTTTGTCCTTTCTCACACCCCTACCACGTACGTATCCCATCACCCTCCGCGACCATAGCCATGTCACGTAAACTTGAGGGTTGAATGATAAAATAAAATAGCTGAGTCGTAACACAACTATCAATTTTGCTTTTATTAAACTTTATTATAAATTCAGCAATCACAATGGAATACACACTGAATTAACACACATAAATCACAATTCACTCCAACAACATTATGTAAAACCTAATTACACTGATACGTTAAGTACGCGAACTGATTTAAGTAGTGGTAAGTACTGGTTTAAGAATAGAAACCGGTAAAGATATGTTGACTATTCTAAAGATAGAGATTGAATGAGTTTTAGTGACGATACTGTGTCTGAGGAAAGCTAGGGGTGAGTGTGTCCAAGGACACGGGACCATCGACTTTGTTGATGACAATTTTCTGACAAGGGTTGATGACAAGGTTCTAGCCGCCCTCGAGAGAAAGTTGCTAACGGAAGATACCAAACGTGAGGAAAACTAACTTTCCCCTGTCAAACAATAAATGTAAAGGAAACCTGAAACAAAAGATACTTGTTTGATCTGAAGGACCTTAACTATGAAAATACCAAGACCCATCGACTATAAGACTATTGAGAATACGCGCCAAGGATGTGCAGACGTACGTCTGGCTGTCATCTTGCCCGCGTTGTATGGCCTGGTCTCTGATGTGGATTGATGTTACAGCCACATACGTCTTCTTCCGCGTAACTATTCGATTGAAGGACGGACGACACATTGATGAGCCGTTTGGCCCATTGAAGTTTCCCGACCCTTTCGATCTGTCGACATTTATGTAATATCGTGATATAATACATTTACAAGGAATGGATAATACAGATGTTAATCGGACAGAAAAAGACGATTGTTGTTCAACCTGAACTATTCACACCAAACGTACAGAAAACAGCACAACTAAATAATTAGATAACGACTCGACTTTCACAAAATGCAATCCACACTCTCTCGGCAACGCCACTCGCAAACTCTGCTTCTCGACTCGCACGCTGCTTCTCTCTGGCTGTTGTAGCATTCTATTGTCTTTTGCTAGGCCCACGGCACACGTGTTCTGCAGACGCTCGTGGCCAGGGTCAAGTAGGTCTTTTTTACGAAACTATGCACTTGAAAAGACCGATAACACATTGATGGACCCGACGGAGCCTCGGCTCTCGCGACATTGTTCATGGTTCGCCCGATATCTCTTAGGCTTTTCGTCCACGATACTACATTTAGAATTTCTCGCAACATTGTTTATTGTTCACCGGATATTTCTTAGACAATCTGTCAACAATACTACAATATTCTAATAATACAAAGATCGATATTTATTTTATATTAAATTTCCACGAATTCGATATATTTATATCTAGTTTCGAAATAATTTCGGGGAATATAATTTGGATAAAAATTTATTTATTAAAAATTATTTAAAAGATTTATTATTAAAAATTTATTTAAAAGATTTATTGTGGTGTCATAAAGATAAACACAGTATTAGATATTTTTTATCTATTTCTCGCAAGTAATTTGTTTTTAAATATTTAGTTGTTAGTCCTGTATCATTTTGGGAATGAAAAGCGTGGATTAATATTTAAATTGTAAATAATTATTTATTTCTGTATATTGTTCTTATACATATATTTATGTAGATATTAATACATTGTGTAGATAATATTCATATGGATAAAGTTAACTTAAATAATGTTAATTAAATAATGTTATACATTTTAATAGTGAATCGTTTAAAAGTAGAAAAACCACGTTATTATCGTTCTGGTAATTTTAATTACGTCTTAAATTCTTTGTCCTTTTGATGAATTTGCATTGAATAAGTAATATCGCTTCAATATTTTTTCTTTTTAATATATAATAAAATGTTACTCTGTGTCAAAGAAATGAAAGAAAAC